TCGACAAATAACTCATTCGACATTATTTCCGCCCTTGTCATTGTTCGAAAGGATGCCGAGTTCGCTCATCCATTTGTCGCGCGCGTGCGTGCGCGTGTGTGTCCGCTCTTTATTTTTCAATTTCACGTATCCTCCGTCTCCATCACTCCCAACGCTTGCCCCTTGTGACACCGTCACCTTGCACGGTAATGATTCAGCACCGAGGCGTCCGTCAGACTGACCTCCTCGCACGCGTGGACGACGAGATGGATGCACGCGGCGACACTCGGTTGTGAACATCACCGGTGTGCCGTTGTGCATGTTGAGTGCGTTACATTATCACGCGAAAACATATACTCACAAAAAAAGCGTACGTCGGGGTGTGCCTTAGGGGCCGTCCATAAATGACGTCACGCGATTTTGGACGATTTTTAACCCCCCCCTCGTTAGACGGCGTCACAAAAAGTCAGACCCCCCCCCTCAAATATGACGTCATAAAGCTCCGCCCCCCCCCCAAAAAAACACATTTCCATTTTGAAAATCAAACATGCTTCAAATCGCTTTAAACTATTGTCATTGTAGTGCGTATTTAATGTGGCGCTGCACTCTGATGTTATGGGAGAAAACATTAAAAAGTCTATTTAATGAAGTAGAACGTGTTGTCTGTATTTATGTAAAGTTGCGCATTTTGATGTGACGTCACATTTCACAAACTCCCCCCCCCCCTCGTCACACATCGGCACAAATGTCTGACCCCCACCCACCCCCTAGGTGCGTGACGTCATTTATGGACGGGCCCCTTAGTGCGACGAATCTTAGGAATGGATGCGCTTGTTGTCACACGCGAACGTACAAACAACACATTGGCAATATGCACGTTTTGCTCTGTTTTCTCAGTCGAAATGCAAAGGTGCAAACCTGCGAATGCTGGCGTCCTCACGCTACTGCTGATAGAAGAGCCTCTACTGGAGGGAGCTCGGTGGGGAGGGGGGTGTATTTGGCCTACTTTTCCATGCTGACTTCGACGTCCTGCAAGAGGTCGGCGAACCACACATTACCCCCAACCGCACGTGAGCTTCTGATTAACTAACACGTTCAGGCACAGTACTCAGTGGGCAGAGGTGGGTGTGGGGGATTTAATAAACGTGATCGTAATCATCATCAGGGGCCGTCCGTAAATTACGTTACGCACCTAGGGAGTGGGTGGGGGTCAGACATTTGTGACGATGTGTGACGAGGGGGGGGGAGGGGTTGAGAAATGTGACTTCACATCAAAATGCGCAACTTTAAATAAATATGAATGAAATAGCATTGTTATAACAACACTCATTTTGATAAATTTTCATTATTAACAATTTGATTATTTAAATTTACTAGGGTCACCTTTTATTTATTCCATGAAGGAGCATTTTGCTTCTCCATGGGAGAATGGAGAAGCATACATTTTGTAAACGTTTTGAATGATTGTTATTAAACATTTTGACTCTAATGATTCTACCAGGGATTTTCATTCTGTGAAATGAATGTGATTATTATAATTGTAGTCTCCATCTTGCTTCGTTCTACTACAAAGTTTCAGGTATTTTTTAAATAGTTCTAAATATAATTAAGTTAGAATTACTTTAAATATTTTATAATTTTAAGAAAATGTAAATATAATATTCTGAACATCTGCAGTTTTAGATAGACGTTGAATATTTTCAAGTTAATTTTATGCTAAATTTCAGCTTTCCAACGCCTCCTTTTTAATAAATGTTTTTCCTATAACATCAGAGTGCAGTGCCACATGACTTACGCAGTACAAGCTGTTTCTCCCTCCATACAGAAACAACCACTTGATACTCTGGTCAAAACCATCACACTACCATATATAGCAGGCGTTACTAAAAAGATTTCCAAAATTCTAAACAAACACAAGATCCAGGTCCGGTTCAATACAGTACATAAAATTCGTGATCTGATCCCATCCGTGAAGGATGTCATTCCTGACTTACAGTACCCCGGGGTTTACAAATTGAGTTGTACCTGCGGTGATTGCTATATCGGGGAGACAAAGCGACATGTCTACTGACCGAATTCGCGAGCACAAATCAGATTTGAAACACGGCAGAACGAATTCTTCTGCCGTGGCTGATCACTGTTACAACGCTGTGGGTGATCACGATATAATTTTCTCCGATACCAAGGTTCTTTGCAAACCCACAGGTTTTCATCAGAGATTTGTTCACGAGGCAATTCAGATCTACAAACACAGACACAATTTCAACCGAGAAGATGGTTTCAAATTAAGCAACCATTGAAAAGATGTTCTAAATCGAACCAAACATTAAACTAATTTTCATTGGTACAGTATATTTTTTCAAGTAGTGGTACCCCAAACTTTCACAGCACAGGCGGGTGCACTGCCGTGGCCGATCACTGTGCTACACCTTTCATCATGCTAAGTCTGCCAATCAAATGCTAAATTTTTATGCTAATTCCTTTGTCAAGGCACCTTAATCCCTCTCACACAGCTTAAAGGTCGGGGTCTGAGCTTGGCTCTGTTTCACTCCAGCGCAGTCTTCGAGACAGTCTGGTCCCTTCACCTGATGAAGGCCGCTTGTGTTGTGGCCGAAACGTCGTGATTTTTGTTGTTTTATTTTTTACCTACGTGACTTTACCGAATAGAACCAAAGAGTATAATGACAATAGTTAAAAGTGATTTGAAGCATGTTATATTTTCAAAATGGAAATATGGTTTGAGGGGGGGGGCAGAGCTTTGTGACGTCATATTTGAGGGGGGTCTGACTTTTTGTGACGCCGTGTGACGAGCGGGGGGGAGGGGTCAAAAATCGGCCAAAATCGCGTGACGTCATGTATGGCGACAGTATGATTTATTATTTATCAGCTGGAGTAGCAAACCCCAGCAATAGCATGTACACGATTTTTGTTCCTAGGTACTAAGTGTTGTTTTCTATTTGCTTATGCCTCAAAAATGTAGAAAATGGCTATTTTTATTCCCCACAAACTTTGCTTTTGTGACCAGGACTTTACGTGAATGAATGACACAAATGCACACCACGTTTGCTCATTGAAATTATGCACATTTCAAAATATCACTGTCCTGGTCACAAAAGCAAAGTTTGTGGGGAGTAATAATAGCCATTTTCTGTACTTTTGAGGCATAAGCAATTAGGAAATAACACTTACTACTCAGGAACAAATAATATCTATATATATTTTTGTCGCACAGTGTGATCATCAACAAGACCGTAAATATTAAAACGGATCCGATGTTTTTAAAGTTGTTTAGTGCCACATGGAACCCGAAATTGTCCCAGTTCATATGACTGCGTGACTTCTGGGTGACCCTTCCCACGGATTGTCAAAGGTGCAGATAAGTGGATAACATTGGTGCAGATAAAATGAGATTCATGGTATTGATGTGCTGTATACTTTTGAAGACAAATCAAAAGTGATTTAAGTAAATTGCTGACCAGACTGAAAATTGTATTTTTTTACTGATCTCTATATATATTATGTGGCTGTATATCGTATTCTTTATGTATAAACTGCATTAAAAAATTCTGCTAAAATGACAATGCATATACGTTTTTAAAAATTATTTTTGTTAAGAAAGTTGTCTTATGATTCCACCTTTTTAATAGATTTCGCATCATTTATAAGGCATGTACAATTTTATCCCAAAACCATATAAATATTTTTTACCAATTTTAGCAAAACACCAATGGTATGTTTTTGATTTTCACAAAAATAAAAGTGCTTCAACTCCGCATTTTTTAATTGCATTACTTGGCATAGACACATTTACTTTTGAATTTTATTCCAATGCAACGACGTTTTTTCATCATTTTGCCTGTTGTTTATTTTTTTTAATTACATTTTTGTTCCTCATTAATACTGTTAAATTTAAAGGTGCAGTTGTTTGCTCATGATCACTGTTGCTAGAAGGGCATCCACAAAAAAAGAGAGAGCTCTGAATGGCATTTTGGCCTACTCTTCCACGAAGGCCAGACATCTTGAAGAGGTGGAAATGTAAACACTTTACCCCACCACATGCAGCATTCATACTGCCGAGTGTACAGAGGTGGAGGGATTTTGAAAACTTGCTCATTCAGCTGTGGCACTAGAATATCGAATCGGCGACCTCTGGATTGCAAGTCCAGTGGGAAAATGTTTAGACCATGGCATCATTAACGTTGCATCGTTCATCATGTTTCGGTATAAATTGAAATCAGCGAATGACATTTTAATCCAATTTCTGCAAAAACCGACAGTGCTTTTTAAATGTAACCATATCTAGAATGGGGGCGCCCAGTGTTAGATAGCTAACATTGGAACCTTGGGGACCTATCTTTGGATTCTGTCCCAGACCTGGATTGGCTTCTTTTACGCCGGAGGCAGAGCTCTGGAGCGAACTGTCTATCTGAGCCGCATGCTGTTTTTGTGGTAAAGCTATCACAGGCAGACAAGAACTGACAGCTCGATTCAAGTGTAGCGCACCGTAAGCTAATGCTGTGCAAATCTGTGGAGGAATCTCATAAACCATCACACCCATTTAATAATAGTGTACTGTATGCAGGCATGAGAACGCCGTCTGCCTGCCACATTTCTGTACATTCCGTTATAATGGCAGGCCAGTTGGAACACCGAAGCAGCAAGAAACAAAGCACAAGATCACTCATTATGAGGGATTACAGTTAGTTGTATATGCATGCAAACCCTAAAAGTACCGTTTGGAAAAAAAAAACAAATCTTTCAGTATTTAGCATCAACTTAATTGGTGCATTTCAGATTAAAGTGCAAATTGATGTTATAAAGGCTTTGCACATGGCAAACATAATGGTGGCTTATAAAGAAAAAAAAGCATTTTTTTTTAGAAGATGTAGCCCCTCTCTGTAATGAGCTACCAAGACCTGTGCCACATGTATACTCAGTGGGTGAGCATTGAAGTCATAGTATGTTGATGTATTTTGCGTACAATCTTAAATGTGTATATTTTATTTGACTCGCACACATTTGAAAAGTCTTTAGTTTATTTAAAGTAGCAATTGTAGCTAATACATACGCGTACATGTCTCAGAAACAACATAATTATACCCACTTTTACTCACATTTTACATCGTCCCTACAAAAGTTGATGAAAAGTAATGTTTTGCATGTTACGTTATTGCAGTTTATTGGTAATAACTGGCAATGTGGAGTGATTATGCATACAAATGCTTATTTTGGGCAAATAAATCCATCATTTGGAAGATACTCTCATGTAAATATTGCAATAAATTATCTTTAGTGCAGCATGAGCACAGATTTATGTGGATGTGACTGGCCTGATATTACTCTGATTTGTCCAGTAGCCACATGTATCATTCTGCAATCCTCATTTCCATCTGTGTCCAAAATTCAACTGGGAATTTTGAGATATACATTTACATGTGAACAATTTGTACATAATACAGTACTTTACTGGGACCATCATACAACATTTAACATAAAAAACAAAGTGGCTTAAATATATGAACTAAAATATGCTTTAAAAAAATCCAATGGAAAATAACAACAGTAAGTGCAATAGCTGCTGTGACTTCAGGTAGCAAAGCATCCTTGATTTATTCAATAAATAAGCATATGTGTATATTTTATACACTGTCATGCATAAATATTGTAGGTAAATGGACGTTAATATTGGCACAATACATTTGTGTGAGGGGAGTGTTTACTTCTTCAAGTCTGAAAATTGGATCTTCCTATTCATCTGAGTCCTAAGTTACAGGATTCTTTAGATATGAAGATGCGCATAAAATTCCTCTGCTAATTTAAACATCCCATCATTTGTTATGGCTCCATCTTTCTCCCAAAGAAGTACCACATCTGAATTGTCAATCATCGGCCAATATCTTTCTGCTTTCAAACTCCCATTTGCTGGAACATCTTCAATCATTCTTGTGTTGTTCTCCCACTTCTCATTCTTTTCCTCAGGCTCGTCTGTGACTGACCGTATGCATTCCAGAAGTCCCACACCTGCCCATTGATTTTCTTGAGATAACAAAAATTGGGAGTTAGAAATTCATGAGATACGTATATACTCCTTTAATTATGTTTAACCCATTACATCCAAAATGGAACTTAAAACGATCGAATTGGTTTTTACATCGCCACGTGAGTCTCAAAATATGACATTAGTTTTGACCTTGTCATTTCAGCAGTGCATTAAGAATGTAGCTATTATATCATGATAGATGTAAATTTTAAAAATGTAGAAAATGTTGTACCTTTTGCTTTGTTTTTGCATTGCATCCCTATAATTTCCAAAGAAACCTGCGACAAAAAGTCTAGCTTTTCGACATCGAGTGGGTCACTTGAACGGGTTTTTCTGAAAATCTGGCATTCTTCAAATATGCACTTGTATGAGCTTTCTTTGTGGCATGGAGTGTGAACAGAATTTTTTTAATGTAAAGTATCTTAAATATGTTATTACAAAACTAACGGTTTCAAACGTGTCAACACTTATATATAAATATATATTTTTCTAATTGTGCAATTTTCTTCCATGGTAAGACCCACTTTTTATTTATTATACCCTCATGACACTAAGCTTACATGAACCTATATGCTTCTAATCCATATGACCTGGAAACATGGACATTGATGAATACATTTAGAACAAAAGCTGAAAAGTATTCAAAAGTTATGGAGAGGTACAAGTTTAGAATAACACTGAGAGACAGAAAAAGGAACACATGGATTAAGAACAAATGCACGTTAGAGCCGTCATATTGATTGTTAAGAAAGATAAGTGGGCTTGGAGCGGATACATCATTAGAAGGACTAATAATAGTGGCAGCCAGAGTGATCACACAAAAGACGATGTACATTGTAGAGATGGAGGAACGATATCAGTTTGTGTGCAGGACTGTTGCATCGTGAGCCCGTGAGAGATGTGACAGCTTGGGAAGACCTTCATCCGTCAATGGATAGATCACGGCTGCTGAAAGCCAATGTGCCTTAAACGGTTTCAATGAAGTGGCCCTTGTGTAGAGTCTTAATGGGTCAGTAAGTGGCCACCTCTTGTGGTGCCACCTGCAGGATCAGCTGCAGGACACGTGTCACCCTGTCTGCAGGCCACAGGACACACGTAACATATTGCGTTATAACATTTTACGTAATGGTATTCCAGCATTCTAAAAGGCCATTCGTTCAAGTCCCACATCCAAGTTATATCTGTAAACCTCAACAGGAAACATGGCAAAACCCAATGGGCCCAATGGGCCATTAGTTCTCTTTTCGAGGTGATCTGGCCACACTTGAGAGCTCACTGAAGTGGCTTATTAAATGTGGGGATTTATAGTCGCCAAGTTATCTAAACGCATGTTTCTAAATGTGGAGGGCAAAGCCAGTGGACCCAGAGAAAAATCCACACGACCGTGGGGAGAACATACAAACTCCAAATATATAGGCGTTAGAGTCAGGGTCGAACCCACAGTCTCCTACATACCAGGCGAGGGGGATAACGTCTTGCCACCTCAGTGCCCCAATTTATGTAGTAATTTACTTTAACATAAACCTGTAATCATAAGAAGCTAAAACAGGTAATTTTAATTCAAAGAGATGACTGTTTTCCAATATTGGTGTAATGTTGACCAACGGCTTTTTCCTATTAAAGTATGTACATCATTTCACGTATATGTCTGTGCTTTCTGTTTCTTTCACTGCACATTTTGAAAGGTATGCGATGAGTTTGCACATGTAACTCATAGTGTAGTATGCGTTGCAGTAATAACGGTGTACCGCGCTTTTGCTTGCACATGGAAGGTTATTAAAATGTGATGAAACCACCTCTCTTCCAGGATAATCCGCTAGCACGGAATAACAAAGAGATCGTGGGGGCAGTGGCGTCATCGTATTTGTGGCTATGTATCTATGTTAAACTTATTTCGCACCGTACGTAGCGTACCGTGCTAATCGGAGGTGATGGGGGAAAGAAAAACAACATTAACACAAAAAATCAGCTCTCAATAAGGCTTACTAATCAGAAGGAAGAGTGTTCAAAATCGTCGCAGAAGCGCATCTGAAAGCGTGCGATGCGGCGACCGTCTTTGTTCGACGGTTAGCCAAAAGCCACTGCGAGGATGACCGTAGTTTTCATGATGGTTTATGCTCCTTGACGAGGATTGCAAGTCATTGTGGTTCACTTGGGGCAAGCGCTTTGTGTGTAATGAGCGCGACGTTATAAGGCACACATATGAGTGAGCGAGGTTACCCAAGCTAAACAATTGCTGACCTGTGGCACGCTTGACTGCAGTGGGCTTGCCGTCCCAAACCACAGTGAGGTAGTACACAGGAACGCCACTCAGCGTAATGGCACAGCCAATGCCACTGTTAACCGGGTCCGAGTAAAGAGACAGAGCCACTACCAAAAGGCATGACAGGGAGAAGAAGACTGGGATGAACAGGGGCACCTACAAATGAGAAATTCCACATTAATCACATCCTGTAATTAATAATTTTTCATTTATCACATGTTCATATTAACGTTGCAGCAGTCATCATTAACACCATTTCATATGTCACGTAACAATTTAAATTGCTGCATCAACGAAAAAAATCACAACTAAAGCAAAACTGAAATTTTTTTGAACATATTTGGCATTCTATGTACAATGGCAAAGGTGCAGCGTACATTCTTCCTCATGTCACTCCACGTGGAAGGGCCTTGAATGGAGGGAGTTCTAGAAAGACTCACTCTACAGGGCACAATGGCCTACTCTTCCATACTGGCCATATATATACGGTATATCACTGGAAAGTTGTGGTCTGATGCGGAAAATAGTGTCAATGTATTTTCACTTCACAGCTGCAGAAAGCACATGTTTGTGTAGTTTAAATCACCCGCGGCCGGTGTATTGAACACTCCTACTAGGCCTAGGATTTTTCTAATAATAATATTAGTAGAAAAAAATCGAATGATTAGTTTTATATAACGTCATCATGCAAATTGCAGCTCACAATTGCAGAGGAACAACAGACAAGCTATGCAGTCCTCTGTACAGAATATTAAGATGTTACATACGTGGGAAGAAGACTGGAGAACATGGAAAAAAAAGACATACTAAGGTACAACACTCTATCCCATGAAGAAGAAACAGATGATATTAGTCCACTCTTTGGTGGTCTGTATTCTGCTGGCAATCTAGCATATGAAATTCGCAACATTTGTCATTTGTCCTATCCACCAACCCTGGCTGCTTCCACATTGCTGGATTACAGGCATGCGCCACCACCGTCCGGCTAATCATCGTGCTGTAGCGGGCAGCACTTGCCTTGAATGGGCGATGCATGTGTGGACGTGTGAAGCGCATGTACACCAGCCCGCTCACAGCCATCGCAATGAAAAGCCAGCGTGCAAAGCTGAAGAAATTTAGAAGGCTGTAGATGTCTCCAACGAACAGCATCAGCATCGTCAACGGGTACTGCAAAAACGTAAAATGTCGGTCAGAATAAAGTAGGTCATTTCCCTTAAACCATAATGAACATAAGCCTTGGCAGGTGCAGATTAAGGAAACATGTTATGTACTGGCCAAGTGCGCTTACATAATTTGTGTGGCGTGGCTGTTTGCCTGAGAATGTTAATTTACCAGAATGATCACGGCAGGCAGCGGAGTGTGTTTCCGAACATGGATCATGGACAAGATGTGTGGAAGGTGGCCCTCTCGTGATGCCACGAAAAACATCCTGAAAGTTTCCAAATTGCATAGTAGTGATTAATAACTTGGGCTAAAGTATTGCAAAATTGTGGAACCGCGTATTCATATTCGACGGGGTTTGTATAAACGTTGGCCAAAAACACACGGCAATAATAAGCTTTTGCTGGCGTACAAAAGGACACGAGTCATAGAGCTAAAGACGTCGTACAGGATTTGCCAGAAGTAGCACGAGTATTTGGTCTCATCTTCCAAGCTAGCCAGACCATCTTGTGGAAGTTCCCACATTTTACCCCACCACACTACACATGACTTAACAATCGTCTAACCGTGGTTTACGTGCTTGAACCGGCAACCTCCGGATTGTAAGTCCATTCTGTTAACTATTACACAATGGCAACATTGTGACGTGAGTCATAATTTAAGTGGTATTGTACACTGGGGGACACATTTTATTAAATGTTACCTTGCTATTGCAAAGACTCCTCCATTTAAGGATCCCAGGCAGGACAAAGCTACGAACACTGGAACGGTGATGGAAAAATTCCCCAGAAGACGTTCCGCAAATGTCTGCAATACAGAGAAAAATACATCTCTTATCACCATTGTTGAAATTCGTGCAGCATTGCCTCTTTAATCAATATTTGTTTTGTTTATCAGCAATGTAGGATTCTGTTATACTTTCGTTCTTACTTAATATGATGCTTTAAAGTATGCACCATATCGCTATATATATAGGCAGCTTTTGGAGGCCATCATCCAGCAGTGGATTGGCCATGACTGATGACGATGACAATCCGAATACAGTAGCTGTTTACATTCCACTGAGAAAATTTCCTCCAGACTCTAACCGTGTGAAACCACAATTAATACAGCCATTAAACTATATTACGAAAGAGTAACTCTTCTAGATTTGAAGCTTTCGTGACTGCAAGGATTCATGCTCTTTGGTTTTTTCGGTAAAGTCACGTAGGTAAAATAAAATGTAGTTGTTTTCTTTTATTTTTAATTTTAATTTACCTACGTAAATTTACCGAAAAAAACAAAGAGTAGTAACTCTTCTGTTACCCCAAACACAAAAAGTCTTGGCCGCCTTATAAAACCAATAATACTTGCTGAGCATCATTGACTTAAACCGAGTTGGAACAAGTAATGTTGGTCAAAAGAACACAGTACATTTGCTCAGGACCAAGTATTACGACTCTGTCCATGCATTCAAACAAGTGACACAGCAGACTTTGCGCACCTACATTCAATTGAAATCACTTGCACGTTTGGGTGGCAAAGGGTGTGTGACTATGACGTGGATTGCACAATGCCACGTTGCCATTGTGCAACGTGGCAACAATTACTTTTTTTGAGTTGTGTTCCAAAGGCCCCGATGAGCACACCGACACAAACAGTGCTGCCTAATGACATGCAATTACCCGAAGAACACAACGTACAGCACGCAAAGTTATTGAGAGGGAAATAAACCCCTACATTTTTAAAAGACAATTAGTTTAAGCTGCATTCCTCAAGGAAATGTTTTAAGAGCAGCGCTTATATTTTAAGTTATCCTTCCTTGTGACAACGTGAATGGAAATACGGTCGAGAATCCTTAATTTTCGCGTATTCACGATCCAAAAATTGTATTCAACAAAATATTTGTGATTCACGCTGGTGCAAAACCAGTCTCCTTACTAAGCTTAATTATGTTGGATATGTATTTAATTAAGGGCTTTACATCTAGCGTACACGTCTAACGATATATTAATAGGTACATTTGTATCACGCATTCTAATGAAAATAATTATATATAAACGCATGTGTGTTTTTTTTACCTGTGTATGTGCCAAGGTTTTAATGATGAAAGTTATCTGCATTGTTGCAGGTCTGCGGTAATTCGTCCTTGCTCTTTATGTAAATAACCAGGGAGGGCGTTCCATGTGTGGTTCAAAGCAAAGGTCCATACCGTAAATGTGTGTTTTTATTTGAGTCACCATTGCATACGTGAGTGGTCACCATGACTGTCATTAATGTATCCTGTAGGAGGGCTCGTCGTCTTACCACAGCCACAGCTTTTGACGCCAGAAGCTCGGCACCACTCATCACAGCGAAGTAAGCCATGTTCATGAACGTGTATGCCACGGTCACAATGCCCATAGAAATGCAAATAGCCAGAGGAATGTTCCTGAACCAGAAAAACAAACAACGGTTAATAAAACATTGGCTGACGCACTCAATGCAAGTTTATCGTTGTTGGTCTTTATTCACGATGTAACTAGGATAGCAGACAAAAAAAATCAGGAAAACACAAAGCAAGATGTACTATGGTTACAGTATTGTTGTATGTATACTGACATTATATAGTTAAAATAACTGATGGTCACATTATGAAATCGCACGCTTGCCATTATGCGTAGCATATAATCATCGTTAGCACTGTTGCGCAGGTTATATTTAAATGAATTAATAAATATATATTTGTCGTATTCTTGGTTCTTTCGGTAAAGTCACGTTGAAGGGAAACAATAAAATAATAAAATATATATAAAACAATAAAATTCTCACGACGTTTCGACTGTAACACAAACAGTCATCATCAGGTGTGAAAACCCAACAGCAAGAAGCCGTTAGTTTTTGATGAGACACCATATGTCGAAACCAATCCAGAGTTTGCTTGTGTTGAACCAATGCTGTTGAAATTATGCACTCCCAGAAGGCCTTGTGGTTGACAGGAAGTGTAAAAAACCTGTTTTCTATCTCGAGCGACAAATATATGTTTTATTTATGAATCACTGCAGTCATGAAAGCTTTAAATCAAAAATATATTTGTCGCTCAAGATAGAAAACAGGTTTTTTACACTTCCTGTCAACCACAAAGGCCTTCTGGGAGTGCATAATTTCAACAGCATTGGTTCAACACAAGCAAACTCTGGATTGGTTTCGACATATGGTGTCTCATCAGCAGTCATGCTTGCATTCTGCATGGTATGTCGAATCTAGTCCAGAGTTTGCTAGTATTGAGCTGAAAGTATGCACTCTCTCACGGCGATGAGGTTGAAGTGTACACTCTAATATGTTATGTAGAAAGACAGATATGAAGTAAATAAATAAAATGTCCACACTTCTATTTGGTCACACATTATATGCAAGTAACTGCTGTGTACTCGAGTTTTTTCCCTGCCTTACGTCACACTGCAGAGTGTTGTGACCATTACACAATCTCACCTCTCTGGATTGTCCACTTCCTCTGTTACAAAGTTCATATAAAACCTAAACAAACACACACGCACACACGCATCAACGTTTGGACAATGGTGGCAGTGTTTCAGGGTGGTAATCCTCACGCCTCACAACAACAAAAAAAATCTCCTGGGTTAGATTCCAGAATTGGGTGCCTTTCTGTGTATGTTATTTTGCATGGGATTCCTGTGAGTTCTCCAGTTTGCGCCCGTAGCTTAAAAATAAAAACAATGCAACCTGTATTGGCCAAACATCCCAAGGCTGAAACATAACCTGCAAATCACACAAATGGCATGGCAGCAACGTCACCCATAATGCAAAACAAATATTTTTGGCAGGACACTCCTGACATAAAGTCTTGAGGCTTTCCTGGGTAAACAGCTAAGAAACTGTAGACTTTTAGCAGTTGTTGTACTCGAATTGTGTGGCGGGATTTGGACCTGGCGATGTTCATGCGTGAGCCTCACCAGCCAGAGTAGGCGTACATGCCAGAGTAAAACGCCAGTGGAAGCCCCATCAGCCCGACCTCCTTTCCGACAAAGGAATCTTGGAAATGTTCTGTGTTACCTGCAGAGGAAAAAACACATTCTGCTCAGATCTGCCAGATGGTTCAAATGGTTGTGCTGTGTATTGTTGAGGGTGGGGTGCAGTGGTTGACGCTCCCAACAAATCTGAGTTTGATTCCTTGCCACGGACAAAGTCAGTGGCAAGCAAGCGGCGTCTAAATAATCCATTATCGAACTATTTTAGTTGACTGCCAAGTGTAAACGTATAAACATCAGTCCTGCAGAGACTAAGGTAACCAGGAGGTTGGTTAACACCACACCACTGGTTCATTCAATTACCGTGAAGGTACTGGTATGAGTGCGAAGTACCAGAACTAGCCCTTGCAGTACCTGTATGTATGTGTGCAACTCGGGCTGACGATCTCGTTGTTATTCCGACGAGCACGCTACTAGCTTGGCGCCAATATGAGCGCCACTTCTCACCGCAATGACCACACCTGTTACATATTTTGACCTAAAAATTTCGTGACTGCAGGAATTCATATTGTTGGTTCTTTCGGCAAAGTCACGTAGAAAAAAAATAAAAATTAAATTAAACTAAAATTAAAAGTGAAAAAGGCCACGGCGTTTCGATCGCAACACAAGCGATTGTGTTGCGATCGAAACGTCGTGGTTTTTTGCTTTTACTTTAAAGTTTAATTATTTTTTGAAATCTTCATTTGTTTTTATTTTCTATCTACGTGACTGTTGCATATTGGCGACACATTGCTGGGGAATCTTAATTCTGTGTGTGTGGCACGCAGAAACTTTCACTATGGTCACATTTATCCACGTTTATTACCTCCCCCCTCCCCCGCTCCCTTGAGGTAAATGAGTCAATGGTCCAATTTGTGTGGTCAGTATCAGCAGTATGGAGACAAAGGTCCATACATGTGTCCTTAAACCCGCCACCACCCGACAGAGCCAATTAGTAAGGTTTGTCACGTAAAAAGAGCGTGCCATTTCGTTACTAGTACAGCACACCGGTGTGTTGGAGAGACAAAGGTAGTTGTGCCGGAAGACCATAAGTTTAAGCAAACACCGAAACGTGTACAAAGAATAGAAGAACAAGAAAAAAACCCCACGCCACTCAGCCTTTGTGTACGACGCTAAAGAAAAGACCCCATCAGTAGTTCCTGGAGAAATGCAATGGTGAGCTCGTGTTGTCCTCAGTAGGACTCGCCAACATAATACAAGGACTGTAGAGTCACCCACGATCACCGTGGATTTGCGTATGGGGCATGTATTATTTCGCGTGTGCGATTTTTTTTTTTTACAAATCTCGATAACTCGGGGGGTGGTGAGTGGGGCGCGTCGAGGGGTGGCCTGTATAAAACTAAAAACGTTGAAAATGCAAAACACATGTAAACTTATTCTTGGTTTCGATCGAAAGCTTTCGTGACTGCAAGGATTCATCTTCTTTGGTTCTTTTGGTAAAGTCACCACGTAGAATGAGAATAAAATAATAAATTGATGAAATAAAATAACACAATAAAATTCTCACGACGTTTCGGCCACAACACAAGCGGCCGAAACGTCGTGAGAATTTTATTGTGTTATTTTATTTCATCAACTTATTATTTTATTCTTGGTTCTTTCGGTAAAGTCAAGTAGAAGGGAAACAATAAAATAATAAAAATATAAAACAATAAAATTCTCACGACGTTTCGACTGCAACACAAGCAATCATCATCAGGTGTGAAAACCACAGCAAGAAAATTTGAAATTTTATTTTTCTTTTGAAATTAGAAATTTTCTTGCTGTGGTTTTCACACCTGATGATGATTGCTTGTGTTGCAGTAGAAACGTCGTGAGAATTTTATTATTTTGTATTTTTATTATTGTATTGCTTCCCTTCTACGTGACTTTACCGAAAGAACCAATAATATGAATCCCTGCAGTCACGAAAGCTTTAAATCAAAACATGTAAACTTATCTAAAATATAATTATTTACCTACTTTTTGCACGATAGTGAAGACGCGCGGCTTTGTGATTGTATTCCTTCTTAAAGTAATCTGTTTACTTGACAATGTTTGTGGTCACGTGGACACACGAGACAAAGATCACGCGTTTAGCCTTTAACAGGCAGTTGTGGCAAGTGCTGTTAGCGAGTCGCACACGACGGGGGTGGAGGTGGCCAACACCACACCTGGACCGCCTTTGTCTCTCTAGTGACAATGTTTACGCATCGCAGCAGGTAATCATTTAAGGCTGAGTCAACCTAGTGTAGACTCGGGACTGGTTCATATAGCCGTCACTGGTGTTGGCTTTGAGGGGGAATCGAATTCGGGTCGCCGATTTCATAGCGCAGCCCGCTAACAGCTACACTACCGCTCCCCACGTGGTGACACACTGCTGCATGTCACCGACCCCCAACGAGAGGGGATTTATTAAATATTTATTTAGCAAACACAGCAGGTGTTGGCTTTACATGAGGTGTCTTCAAACAGCATCGCCAGGTTTTTCCCGTTGGTTATGCTTCCGAAAAAACATGCATTAAGTTACATCACTTGTGTTCTTAATCGCTAACACCAATGCCATTGACATTTTTTGCCATTTCGTCTGATGACAGATATTTTTTTTTATCTCGTGTGGATACATTTAAAGGCGTAATCTGGCTAAGGAGGAACGGAAGAAGCTTGGCGGTTTTTTTTTCTACACCAAAGGTTTCTTTAACTGAACAATTATATTACTATACAAAGCACAACGTTGGCCAGATATGACAATATTGGAATATTGTTATGTCTGGAGTTCATCACCCAGTAACAGAGTACTCTATACTTGATGGAATTCAACACAAAGCAGTCAAGGTGATTGATGACCCAGCACTCATCAATGCAGTCACTTGCTTGCCCAACAGTCCATCGGTTAGTCACCCTTTTAGCAACTCTCCTTTGCCACTCTACATGACCATGACTCGGGTTCCCATGAACGTCACTCATTGTTAAAGACTCAGTTGATCAGACCTATTATGCCTCCTCTATGTTATGTCCAACCGCCATATTTAGAGACAAAACCTTCTGTCTTTCCCACGTCTTTCCTCATTCTGCTCCGTTTCGAAAAATTCCATTTCGTCCTCGCTTTTACAAAGCGATTATAACCTTGCTAAATTCAATAAACGTATTAACCCCTCGTCTATTAAACAATGCATAATGTTGTTTGTTGTTAGCCACTTGACATTTTGGGCCTTCGGGCCTGTACTCAGTGATCTCGATAACAAAAAAAAGTGCATCAGCACAAACCCGCAAGGCCACACATTTTTAATATTTTTGTTGAGCTATAATTACATTATTTAGGATAACAACTGCAACAAAAACACACGAATGTTTATTTATTTTCTTTCTTTAAAAATGTGCTTTGATAATCCACAAATGGTAAATATTGAGTTTTAGGAACCCGAGCAGTCCTGTAGATTTCCACGGAATGATCGCCACTGGGCAGAACTGTTCAAACTTAAGCAGCCTACATTACATCAAAAGCCATGTTATATGCAATCCTCAGCCCTCTCTATGCAGCCTCCTGAGTCAGTCCGTTTATTGCACCAGGGGCATAAGAGGGCCGTGATGGGCAGTCAGCCAGAGACATCAGGTGGACAACCATGCCGAGCTACGAATGCGCGGTGCTTCTCAGTAAAATCGGTGCCCGATTTGGTATTTTTGTTGGCATACCTTTGGCTAAGTGTATGATGCCCGGTATGATTATGATTCCAACGGCAGCGAGCTTGGAGAATGTGAGAAACGTCTGAAGTCTCGCTGTCCACGAGACGCTTGAACTGTTTATGAACATCACCAGTGCTGGAGGCAGATCGAGATAATGTATAGAATATTACAATCCTTACATGCTGGTGGTACAGGAGAACTAATTTTATTGAATGTCACCAACGGTACGGATCCAATTATCCACCAGGTTATCCTCGGTTTAACGCCACTTATATGTGGGCAAAAGAGTTGCGGATAATCGCAGATATAACGAATACAAAGCCAATCCAAAAAAGGAGAATTGGAAATTCCAAATACCTGTGGATAATAGGAAGAATAGGGCCACAGGTAATAGTTTTCACGGACCCTACCGCTGATGCAGATAACTGGAGTCGTGGGTAATGAGTTGTCCTGTAGTTGCAAATCATCAATTTTTCCTCAGAAAGGATTTGAATGCTTGATTGAATGTTAACAATGCGACGTTATGACATCAATCATAATTAGAGTGCTGTATTAAGTTGTACTTATTAACACATTTTATTTTCTTACCTTATATTTCAAAACATGTTTTTAGCTGTATACTATACGTACGTGACAAGCGCAGTGTACACCAACATTGATATCCTACAAATGTTGCTCATATGCAAATACTGTATTAACAATTTAATGCAATGATTTGGTACTTACAGATAGCGAGGGCAGTGACAATTTTCACTGCTAACTGAGGGACGTGGCACTGAGGAAACATCGGTTGCAGAATATATTGCCCAAATGTGAGTGCTATTACAGCCGTTGCAGCTGGTCTGTGGAGACAGAGGTAGAGAGAGCACACGACGCAATTAAACATAAGTGAAGGACGATGGGTCCACGTTTTACCATTAGTTGATGAAGTGCACCTTTAGAAAAAAACAATACCTGATGATGATGAGCTCGACCCACAATCTGACAAAAGCTGGCAGAGGTCCGAACGCTTCAAGGATGTAGGTGTAGTGGCCTCCAGACTTCTTGATGCAAGTCCCCAGCTCAGCGTACGACAATGCACCTACCAATAAATACACATCTTAAGAAAATCGCATTTGATTATAATCATGCCTGATGAACGTGAATTGCAACAAAAATGAACCGTACTTTTGCTTCAAACGTGATGATAAATCAAACAAACAAAAAAACACCAACACTAAAACGCACGACGGACATATCGTAACACTTACCAAAAAGTGACAGGACACCGCACGCTGCCCAGACAACCAGCGACATGCCCACACTACCGGTGTTCGTCAGGATACCCTTGGGCGAGATGAATATCCCACCGCCGATGATGGTGCCCACAATGATGGAAATGCCACGCACGAGGGTGATCTTCTTCTTGAGGTGCACTCGGTCCGAGTCATTTTTCCCGAGAGGGTCCCCGTCTCCCCCGCTCAACTCGGGGGGCGACCGCGCCAAAGCGTTCCTTACCTCCGGCTTTTCACGTGCGTCGCGCTGCGTAAGCGGTCTACTTTTCATCGTTTGAAAGTCACCCGAGGCTATGGTGGGTGCCACCGTGTCACGAAGAAGAAGAAGAAGACGAGAGACAGACGCGCGTGTGCGTGCGTGTGAAATTAAACACGCGCGCGCGCGCACCCTCTCTGCTACTTTTTAAAGTTACGAGCAAGTGAAGACACGAAGCGCCGAGGGTGACTTCTTTCCGACTGACGGAGAAAGAAGCGACAGCCCTGTTATGAAATGCTCGCACCGTGACTCCGCACACTGGGCGTCTCTCTCTCGGTCTTCGGTTTGTCGAGTGCGCACTTTCTTATTGGTTGTGACAAAAAAAAAGCTGCTGACAAAATAGTCGTGAGTCATCTTTTGCACAGATTTATGCTGAGTAACCATTAGTTAACACGCGTAGTCCAGACAGGAAATCGTGTACTACCCTTAATGAGCAAACGTATAACATGACAACCCATCAGCATGCGTGAATTTATACTTTAAATTATAGCCCTTTTTATGGGGAGGGGGGGGGGGTAATTTTTCGTTGTACATCTAGTGGCTTCTAAACGGATATTACGATTCATTATATACGAAACAAACGAGACGCAGCATAGTGTTAAGTACTTTTTTTTAAAAAGGGCAATAGCATATCTGTACAATATGCAGTTGTTGTGCTTTTAAATGTAGACATTTAAGAGTACTGAGGTTGAATTGTCAACTGAAGCCATGACGCAACTAGTGTGCACCGCTGATGCAATATTTTTTTCCCATTACACCACTTAAAAGTGTTGGGTGTACAACAAAATCAATAAGTCAAAGGAGCCAGTTTCATTGGCCCTCGGGAACAAAATGTCAAATAGCTGAACACCGCAGCCTGCACATTACTGTACAACACAGTATCACCTCACACACAAGACTGCACATGTAACCAGAACTACATTTTTTATGTAACTGTCGTGGTCTACCTGACCACCCGTCTTGCTGTCACTGCAATGCTGCGTATGGAGAACATACAATTTAGAATTAAAGTTTTAAATTACTAGGAAACATCATAAGCCTTATCATCAAGTGAAATTCAAGATGCCACGATTTAAATAGAATATTCACCACACTCATAAAAAAGTACAGAAAACAATGGAATCTTTGTCACTCTCTGGAATCTATCAATCTACATCACGTTATTATTTATTGTTAAACAGTAATATGTAGTAATGATAATTCACTGTTGGATCGAGGCCTCTCGACCATGCCGAGTTGGTCATGGGGCGGTTGTTTAATCGTACTTCACCAAAGCAGGTCAGTGCTCGTTAAAACGTGAAGCAACTTTAATGACAACAGCGTAGTTAGAAATTAAAAAGTTTTCGAGATATCGAAATGACAGAGGAAACTAGTGTGTAAAAGGGCATTGCCTGGGTTATTATGATTTTATGCATTTGCCATCAGCAGCCCAAACACATATTATACTTGGCAGACGGGATGTTCGTCGTGCACATGTGACACGCTGATTTGTGTTTATTGTTGATAAAGATGCTCGTCGCAATCTGAAAGCAACTCGGATGCCACCACACATATTTTCCCAAAACGTTCACAAAGAAGTCAACAAACACATACAGCAAACAATAATATAGTTGGAAAGAAGCAAAACTGCAAGCACAATAGAAATGTGACTGACTGCACATGTAAGAGAGTGGGCATGTTATGTAACGAAAAAGTGACATAATTGGAGAATAAAACAAAAAATAATATATCACGACGTTTCGATCGCAACACAAGCGGTCGTGCTCAGGCGGAAAACAATATCCAGCAGTGGAACGGCTGAACCAGTGAGAGAGCTGTTACAACAAGGAGGTTATTCATGTGGCGATGGGCAAGCAAGCGGGGTCTGAGCTGGAAAGGAATTCCATCCCTGGACGCAAGCACGTCAGTTGTGTTAACGGGGGAGATTATGGAAAGAGAGTTTAGGGAGAGAGATTAGCATGACATGAGCTTCCATCGCCGTACTAAGATTTAGTATCCCCGCATATGCGCACAACAGGAGTGTTAATGGGAGATTAGCACTATGTTGATGGGAAAGATTAGGGGGATTAGCAAGTTAATGTCATGTCTATGTGTAACACAAGCTGCAGCGTTGCCAACTGCGCTGTGAGGCAAGCGTGTCCACGCAAGGGAATCACCGCAATGGTGGTCGCGCCAGTGAGACACACAACGAGCCTCTTCTCGATTAAAACACCCAGGAATGGTAGCTTGCCATCATTTTCCACTTCCATGGTGAATTTGATGGATGGGTGTATGGAATTGATGTGGTTGAAAAAAAGTTTTAAAAAATGAAGGTACCCCTATGGGTTCTCCCTCATCACCAGTGGTAGCGAATGTTTTCATGGAGAATTTTGAAACAGATGCCATACTGACATCCACCCTACGTCCTTCCCTGTGGAAGAGATTCGTAAGTGACACTCGTCATCTGGTCACATGGCCAGCCAGCACTGAATCATTTTTTCAACCACATCAATTCCATACACCCATTACGTCTACAGGAAAACCACCCACACGGATTCCTATCTAAAGGCTGACTCCCACCACCATCCGGCCCAGAAGAACTCCCTCATCAAAACACTACACCATAGGGCCCACTGCATCTCTGACCAGCGCCACCTAGCCAGTGAACTGGAGCACGAATACCAAGCCCTCAAGATGAATGGATACTCAGACCGCACAATCCGCAAATCTGTAGCCTCAACCATGGGGAGACAACCATCTGAGGACCCAATCAAAACCATCACCTTGCCATACACAGCAGGTGTTTCCAAAACTATTTCCTAAATCTTAAACAAACACAAGATCCAGGTCCGATTCAATCCATAGGCCTTTGCGTCTTGAGAGACAATTCTTTTTTGTGCGTTACAAGGTCAGCTGTAGGTTTTGCAGCGCCTAGAATGACTTAGTAGGCCAATCCTTGAGTGAGAATCCTTGCCACAGCAATTGCAAGTGAATGCGGTGGCAGCTCCAGAGGTGTTTGTTGATTTTTCTTTACGTCGCTCCCTCTTGGTCTGCCAAGCTGTGTGTCTTTTCTCCTCGCCTCTCCTGAGGCCTGTTTTCACAGCCTGCTGCCAGCTGAGTTGGTCGCCAGCAGTTTTCTCCCAGTCATTTGGGTTGATGTCGCAGCTCTTCATGTCCCGTTTACAGACATCTTTGAAGCGCAGGACCGGGCGACCAGTGACCCGTGTGCCTGTTGCCAGCTCGCCGTACAAGACATCCTTGGGTATTCTGCCATCCTGCCTGCGGCGCACGTGTCCAAGCCATCGCAGGCGCTTATGAGTGAGTAGAGAGTAGAGTGAGTGAATAAAGTATTTGATCCCCTGCTGATTTTGTACGATTGCCCACTGACAAAGAAATGATCAATCTATAATTTTAATGGTAGGTTTATTTGAACAGTGAGAGACAGAATAACAACAAAAAATCCAGAAAAACGCATGTCAAAAATGTTATTAATTGATTTGCATTTTAATGAGGGAAATAAGTATTTGACCCCTCTGCAAAACATGACTTAGTACTTGGTGGCAAAACCCTTGTTGGCAATCACAGAGGTCAGACGTTTCTTGTAGTTGGCCACCAGGTTTGTACACATCTCAGGAGGGATTTTGTCCCACTCCTCTTTGCAGATCTTCTCAAAGTCATTAAGGTTTCGAGGCTGACGTTTGGCAAATCGAACCTTCAGCTCCCTCCACAGATTTTCTATGGGATTAAGGTCTGGAGACTGGCTAGGCCACTCCAGGACCTTAATGTGCTTCATCTTAAGCCACTCCTTTGTTGCCTTGGCCGTGTGTTTTGGGCCATTGTCATGCTGTAATACCCATCCACGACCCATTTTCAATGCCCTGGCTGAGGAAAGGAGGTTCTCACCCAAGATTTGACGGTAAATGGCCCTGTCCATTGTCCCTTTGATGCGGTGAAGTTGTCCTGTCCCCTTAGCAGAAAAACACCCCCAAAGCATAATGTTTCCACCTCCATGTTTGACGGTGGGGATGGTGTTCTTGGGGTCATAGGCAGCGTTTCTCCTCCCCCAAACACGGCGAGTTGAGTTGATGCCATAGAGCTCCATTTTAGTCTCATCTGACCACAACACTTTCACCCAGTTGTCCTCTGAATCATTCAGATGTTCATTGGCAAACTTCAGACGGGCATATATATGTGCTTTCTAGAGCAAGGGGACCTTGCGGGCGCTGCAGGATTTCAGTCCTTCACGGCGTAGTGTGTTACCAATTGTTTTCTTGGTGACTATGGTCCCAGCTGCCTTGAGATCATTGACAAGATCATCTCGTGTAGTTCTGGGCTGATTCCTCACCGTTCTCATGATTATTGCAACTCCACGAGGTGAGATCTTGCATGGAGCCCCAGGCCGAGGGCGATTGACAGTTATTTTGTGTTTCTTCCATTTGCGAATAATCGCACCAACTGTTGTCACCTTCTCACCAAGCTGCTTGGCAATGGTCTTGTAGCCTATTCCAGCCTTGTGTAGGTCTACAATCTTGTCCCTGACATCCTTGGAGAGCTCTTTGGTCTTGCCCATGGTGGAGAGTTTGGAATCTGATTGATTGATTGCTTCTGTGGACAGGTGTCTTTTATACAGGTAACAAGCTGAGATTAGGAGCACTCCCTTTAAGAGTGTACTCCTAATCTCAGCTTGTTACCTGTATAAAAGACACCTGGGAGCCAGAAATCTTTCTGATTGAGAGGGGGTCAAATACTTATTTCCCTAATTAAAATGCAAATCAATTTATAACATTTTTGACATGCGTTTTTCTGGATTTTTTTGTTGCTATTCTGTCTCTCATTGTTCAAATAAACCTACCATTAATATTATAGACTGATCATTTCTTTGTCAGTGGGCAAACGTACAAAATCAGCAGGGGATCAAATACTTTTTTCCCTCACTGTAGGGTGATGGTGTTGGAGTCTCTCATGTCTTGAGACATTGCTCTTTCTTCCCAGCACTGGCAGATAAGTTCATGGAGTTTTGTGAGGACGGCGGGTTTTGCACATTTCAGTACCTCAGGTGTGACGCCGTCCTGTCCCGGTGACTTGCCACTAGCTAGTGAGTTGATGGCGTTGTCAAGTGCCTTCAAGGTTGGAACATTGTCCATTTCGTGTATCATTGGTAGGGGCTTTACAGCAGCAAGGGCAGCTTCTGACACACCGTTGTCTCGTGAGTAGAGCTCTGAGTATTGTTCTGCCCACCTGGCCACTTGCTCTTGTTTATCAGTGATGATGGCCCCTGTGCTGGATTTAAGGGGGGCAGACCTCCTGATGTTTGGACCAAAGACTGTCTTGATGCCTTCATATATGGCACAGATATTGCCAGTGTCAGAGGCGAGTTGGATCCTACTACTGAGGTTCACCCAGTAGTTGTTGGCGGAGCGTCTGGCGGTCGTTTGAGCTGCACTGCGGGCAGCTTTCAGAGCCCTTGACGATCCTGTACTGGGGACTTGCTTGTACTTCAGGAGCGCCATGCGCTTGGCTTGGAGGATGGGTTCCAATATAGCCAGGTGTTCCTCAAACCAGTCTGTGTTCCGCCTTGTCTGCTTGCCGAAGGTATTGATGGCTGCATTGAAGATGGCGTCTCTGATGTACAGTGAGGGACAAAAGTATTTGATCCATACTCTTTGGTTCTATTCGGTAAAGTCACGTAGGTAAAATACAAAACAACAAAATAATCACGACGTTTCGGCCACAACACAAGTGGCCTTCATCAGGTGAGGGGACCAAACTGTCCAGAGGACAGCGTTGGAGTGAAGAAAGCCAAGCGCAGGTCGCCTCCTTTAAGCTGTGAGGGGGTAAATAGAAAAAAACGCCTTGACAAAGGAATTAGCATTAAATGTAAAGCCGTGCAAGCTTGGAATTAGCATAAAAATACATTACCCCACAGTGAGATTTTGGGATGCCACTAATTGAATAAATATACTGTACCATTGAAAATTAGTTTAATGTTTGGTTCGATTTAGAACATCTTTCCAATGGTTGCTTAATTTGAAACCATCTTCTCGGTTGAAATTGTGTCTGTTTTTGTAAATCTGAATTGCCTCGTGAACAAATCTCTGATAGAAACCCGTGGGTTTACAGAGAACTTTGGTATTGGAGAAGACTATATCGTGATCACCCACAGCGTTGTAACTGTGATCAGCTGCGGCAGAAGAATTCGTTCTGCCATGTTTCAAATCAGATTTGTGCTCGCGAATTCGGTCAGAGACATGTCGTTTTGTCTCCCCGATATAGCAATCACCACAGGTGCAGATCAATTTGTAAACTCCGGGGTACTGTAAGTCAGGAACGACATCCTTCACGGAAGGGATCAGGTCACGGATTTTGTGTACTGTATTGAACCGGACCAGGATCTTGTGTTTGTTTAGAATGTTGGAGATCTTTTTAGTAACGCCTGCTATATATGGTAGTGTGATGATTTTGATCGGAGTATCAAGTGGTTGTTTCTGTATGGAGGGAGAAACAGCTTGGCGGATGGTACGGTCAGAGTATCCATTCCTTTTGAGGGCCAGATGTACATGTTTTAATTCACTGGTCAAGTGGTGTTGGTCCGAAATGCAATGAGCCCTGTGGTATAACGTTTTGATGAGAGAATTCTTTTGCGTCGGGTGGTGGTGGGAATCAGGTTTCAAGTATGAATCTGTGTGGGTGGTTACAGTACCCCGGAGTTTACAAATTGATCTGCACCTGTGGTGACTGCTATATCGGGGAGACGAAGCGACATGTCTCTGACCGAATTCGCGAGCACAA